CGTTAGTTAAAACTGTCTCACGATAGATTCAAATATCGGGATTATGTAAACACGGCAATGAACACTTAAGCTTATATGAGTAGGGAAATTCTTGACTTTGCTGACTCCAAAGTTATCCGAAAGGAAATTTAAATTTCTAAAGACGGACATGCGAGCGTGTCTGATTTTATTATGGCTGATGTTAGGTGGGATAAAAGGGGTGAAACTTCTTGTGGGGCCAAGACTTCATTAAGCTACGTCCTGATCTTCGGGAACTTCGATACGCTCGTACGAACCTCTACTTAACGCTGAGAACATATGGAAATGTATGGACTTGCTTCCAGCGCTTTGGCCTTGAACCGTCACTCTCTCTGAGTCACCGCCAAATTCTTGGATGTTCTGTTGAACCCACCGCAATGCCGCCACCTGATCTTTCATTCCGTAATTACCTGGTGCCTCATCGTCTCCAGTACTCAGAAATCCTGCAGAACAATCATTATGAGACTTTGGGTTGTTTTAGAGGTTTAAATCAGGGAGAATATTAAACACATACCGCAGAAATTATTTCCTACACTAAAAATGGCATTAGATTGTTTGTTCTTACTTAACCGAGAAAACAAAATAGAATCCTGTATGACGATGGTAGAGAAGAAGAAGAATATTAACGGAAGTGGTCATGACCTATTTTAAATCACCCTGTAAGAATTAGTTCGAGATACTGAGGAATCCCATAAAAAATATGTGATTTAGCCAGAAATCAAAACGAAGAGACATTAAAATGTAAACGATAGTTAATAAAACAGTCGACAATTTTTGAAAACACAGTAAAGAATTCAAAACAACGCAAGTCACAACATTGAAATAAATAATAAATTTAAAAAGTGCTTGTTAATATTGGGTTCTGATTTCCAAATTAGGGCACAAGCCATGGTTGTGACTGAACACTCGGCCATGTTGTTGCCTTATTCATCAGCAGCTGAATCATCTGAGAAGAAGATGTCAATTGGCCCTGAAGATAAAGTTGAGAAGTTTCTTCGAAACGTTAACATCAATCTACAGGGTGTTACGACCCAAAAGATCAGATCGAGAGTTGTACTAATTTACGTTAATGAATTAGAAAAGATTTCAACATATAAATTTCAAGATCACATTTTGAAAGCGTAGTTTATTTTTGTAACTGAATGTTTATAAAATTAAATAACATTAACAAAAATATTTTTTTTTAAAATAATCAACACGTATCCGACAAATAGACATATAATGAATTAAAATTACATTCTTGGTAATAAATACTTCCGTTTTTTTTTAAAATTTTGTATGAAATTCTGAAAACTCATGGGACCGTTTGTCCCCAATGAATTTCAGTAAACCCTTAATAACAAATAATAACTTAATTGTTTATATTTGAGTACCTAATTTCATGCATAAAAATGATACCATCGATACAAATGGCTTCATCGAAAATCAACTCGTCTCAGGCGAGCAGGGAATCCACCTTTTCCACTCTGTGTTTCGAGCAGATGGGGCAAATTTGCTGTCAGGTTACGTTAAGGGTCCACTACATGTTTCGACCTTAATTAGTCATCTTCAGGTGGTTGGTTCTCTTTAAGTGTCGGAAATTAACAGATATGACTGTGTTACTGACTTCACCATGTTTCTAAACAATAAATTTATGTTACGAATTTGGAAACTACGTGACTACGAAAATTAGGGCGTAGAAGAGTCCTGGAAGGTTGTCTTTTTGATATCAAGAGGCAGATGGGAGGAATTCTAAGTAACACTTAAAACGGATTGTAAAAATGCCGACTGATTTGAACTGATTCGACGTAGTTCTATTGTCTGCCGGCCGGGGCGTGATGCTGACCTCTCACCCCCATCTAGTGCCGAGGTCAAGGAAGAGAGGAGCTATACCTCCACTCCTCCCAAGCGCTTACATGGCGTATAGCGGGACAAACTTAACTTAGGTTTAGACTACTGTTACAAAAGCAAAGGTGATCTACTCAGGCACGAACCACTGAAAACATGAAATATAGAATGGGTGTCTGGAAAGGCTTGATATTTTGAGTCCGTGGTTAGCGACGGGTAGCTTTAATCAGAATGGCGTAGCGATATACTTAACCCATGACTCCAAGGCGATAATTAATTGTGACCAGTACAATCGCTCTGTCCATTAGGTACCACGGTCCACTTATGAAGCTCACACCAGAGCCAACACTGAATTTCCCTCCGTGGATGTACACAATCACCGGATGTTTCGATTTGCTGTCAGATGACTGCAAAGAGACACTTCATTTAGGATCCACAAATGAGTGCATGTTACGTTCGGGGGTGGACTTCACTGTTTTATTCATGAACGAAACTTCAGCATCAATTAAAAAAATAAATAACAATATTTATGGGTCACCATCGTCAATTGTATAGTCGGCGTAGTAGTTTTGGCCGGTGGAGAAGCTGGCGGACGGGCCTACTCCGTGTACCTGAGGTGGCACGGTCAGTGCATTTCTTTTGTTTGGGCGTTCAGTCCGAGACTCGCTCCTAACCTTCCCCTTTAAAATTCCAAGCTAGCGGAGCTGGCGGACGGGCCTACTCCGTGTACCTGAGGTGGCACGGTCAGTGCATTTCTTTTGTTTGGGAGTTCAGTCCGAGACTCGCTCCTCGGTGCAGTCAGCAAAAGAGACTCGCTCCTAGCCTTGACCTTGAAAATTCCACCGACAAAAAACTACTGCGCCGACTATAAGCGTGAGAAGAAAGCAAAGTGTTACCTTTAACCAGCCAGTTAGGGACCGAGGCAGGGGTCCCATGTGTTTTAGCGAATATTCCCCCGATATCTCTAAAATTAGCGGTAAGTCACGTACGGCCACGAAAATGGAGGTCCCTGAGCCCATAAATTCCGTGTGGTTGATTTCCTTACAAATAATCGTATTTGTTCTCAGAAATATCCATACAATTTTTTTTTCAGAAAGTTTTTACATTCGACCAATCGAAACACGGCCACAGGTAGGCGACGAATGAGAGTCCTTAAAATTTTCAAATGTTCCAACGGAAGATGGCTGTCTTCTCGATTGTACAGTGACTTATCGCCCTGATGATGGAGGCAGAAAGTACCTCCGAAAAGTCAGTAAACCTCTACAAGTTTACCTGGCGCCGTGTGAACCTTAAATCCTGCCGAGTTTATTAAGTAACACACTTCATTGAAAGCTCACCTGTTCAGGGGTGTACACGTTCAAGTACAGACAGTCCTCGCTGCCTACAGGAACAACCAGATCATTCTGAATGCATAAGGGACTGTCTGTTAGAGCGTCGAGCGTCTTTGACCAGGGGCGAGGACCCCGAGGAGCCTGTGCACAAGGAAAACAAGGTAACGAGGCTGTCTATACATCTGTTAAAACATCCTAGTGAACTCACACGTTCTTCGCCGTGGTAATTCTTAAATTAAAACTGTACTGAAATAATGAAACTGATTATTTATTACGAGGATCTTATAAATGTGATTTCCTGTTTATCGATGTTCTACTTGTTGAAGCTATTGAAATATTTTCATATTTAAACTAGTAAACAGACTTCCCTCTACAATACTCCCTCACGTGACCAATTCTAATTAACCATTTTGAGGATCATCATTAAGATGGCAGTGTACTTCCAGTTATTTGTGGGTTAATATAATTTTAGTAAAAAAGATTCGAAACACTTCTGTTTTAAGCTCGATGTCTTCATTCCGATTATACCGCCGATGTCTAGGATAGGAGAGACGATGCAGATCCCCACGAGCGCGAGTTGCCTCGGGTAAATAAAAATACGATTAAAAAATTGACTGTAATTAAAAAAATATTTTTACATAATTGTAATAATATCAGGTCGTATTTTCATAAATACACATCATGATAAATGGATGTCTTATACAGTAGTTAAGATATAACATGTCTAAACGACTTCACAGCTATGACATTTTAAAGACCTTGGAAGAAGGATAAAGAGTTTTAAGAATTGTGTGTTTTTAGATAAAAATACCAGAAAATAATCACAATTTCCATACTAGTCCTTAGAAGGCAGCGCCATTTGTTTTTAAGCTATTTGACTGCAGATAATAAAAAAATTGAGTAAAAACACTTTCAGAAGTAGTTTGTTACATTAATTAATAAAATGCAGCATTTATACGAGAAAACCTAACAAACTACCATAAGCAAAGTTAGATTAGTACACTGCATAGCTTCTATTGAAATTAATGCTGATAGATTTACGAGAGAAATTTGGAATCATAGTTTACCAGCATTAGTAGTCACGCCATTTTCGAAACATTAGTTTTCCATAGAGTCAGTGTTAGACTGCAGAATTTTACAACCATCAGAATTCCATTACGATATATTTAAGCGTACAAGTCGTCAGATAACAAGAGATACTTAGAATTGTGAAGACAGTTATACGAATCTTTACTGAAAAACTAATAATATTCATGTACAGGTAGCCCTCGATTTTCGCCGATTCAGAATAACGCCAATTTTGAAACCATAAAATCAAAAATTGAAGAAGAAAAATATATATTACTATTATTTATAACGCTTTTACAATGTTTCTTATACTAAATCGTAATTCTTATATGGCTAATTTTGAATAAAAATTATAAATACAGTCATCTCTGCAATTACGTTTGTTTCGTTAACGCGAATTTGCTTCAATGAGATCGATTAATCGATAAAATTGTTTGTGAAATGGAAACTTTTACATACGCGAGTTTGCTCTTAAGAGGAGTGTAATGGCAACCATGAGGCCTTATCGTTAAATTTTGAAAGAAATAAAGAAGAAATCACTACACGCCTTCTCTAAAAAAACATGACGATCCTCAAACCAGGGACTTCCTCAGAGAACTAACACCGCTTCATCACGCCATCGCCGATTGTAAGTGTATAAAATATATATTTTTTAAATTATCTTTATTTTATTTCAGAGCTTTAAATGCAATTCCATTATATTACTCGTCAATGTTTGGGTGCAGGGAACGCATGTCATCGACTTCCAATTGATTTACATTATAAAAGAGTTTCAATTTACGCTGGTTCGTTCAGGAACACATCCCCGGCGTAAATCGAGGGCTACCTGTATTCGCAGTTAATTTTTTTACGAACTTTACAAAGAATCTCCCAAAATTTTGCACATACATTCAGTGAATGAAATAAAGACATTTTAAAAAAAAACTTAAACCATTGTATACATCAGCATTTATACTTGGTAAATTAGCGAATCTAGCTAGAAGTTTATTGAAATATCTCCTATAATACTTATAATATCTCCGTCCCTTTATATTCAAATTAAAATCAGACGGTATCATGTTCGATTAAGTGAAGATGAATTTTTCAAGGTTATTTAGAGGGAACTGAGGAAAGACAAAGCTTACAAACCTTAAATCTGAGGTCACCGATGGGTGGCTCAGCGTACGGAATTCCCCTGTAGGAGCAAAAGGGCTTTCCATTCCACGAATTTTTCATAGATCCTTTGACAGGACCCAAATTTGTACGCACGAAGCAGTCACTATGCGCCTGAATTACCGACAGAAATACGACGTACACAATAGCTATCTGCCAACGCTGCCGACAGATGTCTCGTCCATACATGCCGGACTGCATTTCCCTGCTATGAAATGAAACAGTAAAAATATGGCGTGGTTATAAATTTCAAACAGTACCACACACCATCTGCTTAATATTCGGCAACTCTGCATTGTGCTACATTGTGCGTGTATGAATTCCTTAAGAATTTCATGAAGAAAAAGGGTTTATTTCCTTGAATAACTTTCGGAAGTCCTTTTTTTGTGAAGTGTCGTGTTCTCTCCAGAGCTCAGATATCACCGCTACGACCACATCTACTCCAAGGTAACAATGCGTATAACATTTACAATATTCCCGACCAAAATCTCGTGCTCATTCCTTGATTATACTATTCTAGCGATACTGACAACCCAAAGTAGCCTCTCAGGTTACACTAACACCACACTGACAGTAGTTAACATGTATGCACATTCACGAAGTTCATCTTTCGACACAGCGCAATTTGAATTAATGAAAGCATCGTTACATAACCTACAAATAAAAGAATATAAAATATTCCTTGTGATCTACACTAGTATTTTGAAAACAGACGGGATAATAAAGTTTTTTTTCAAACCTGAATCAGAGAAAGAGTTTTTATAACTTACTCTTCTCTGTTACTGAAGCTCCTTACAGGAATTCACGATGTACATGCGTAGGATATTACGAGACTCTTCATGAAGCTCACAAGTGTTTATAGAATCCCTAATGCGACAACAAAATGTGTTATGTTGCCCCATTGAAAGTTCTGTATAATTTAGTATCGCTCAGGCATGTCCTTCGCCATTAAAACCTTCTAGATATCTTGTACACGCGAAACCCATAATTTCAAAGCGACTCCAAGGCTGAATTCGTCACTTCCTGTTCATATCGGTTGTTTTCTGTTTGATACCTACACAAGATAAGAACGTCGCATGTCCTGTAATTAGTAGCGCAGGTATTATTATTCTGGCAGATATTTATTGCTAAACAAACCTGAATTTCCAATTTCTTGACATCGTAGTTGGGAAATTGAGTCACAATGGCGAGGAAGTCTTCGTTGATTCCAGTCGTCTCTCGTCATTTGAAACATTTCCTCTTGCTCTGTTCCAACTCGCGGAAGTATCTGCTCACGAAAACATTCCTGGCTTAAGACGGTCTGCAGGCACATCGCAAAGGATGACTGACTCGTCATAAAAAATTGTTACGTATCTATTCACTGCATGTTCTAGGAAGTTATCCTTGGACGACCTAGATGCTTTCACGCGCAGTCTGAGACACGCAATGTCTTATGGCGCCACCGGAAACTGGCGGTAGTTCTGCGAAACATTTGATAGTTTCTGGACGTCACACAGTACCAGTCCCTTATTAACCACAGAGGTGAGGACAAGTGTAAGTGGTTACATTACAGACATTATTTCTGAACACTGCTAATATTTCCATTAATGATAATAGGGTCTTCGTTGAAATGAGACCATTTGTAAATCTGTCACTACAATTGCTAGTCTACTGATAACAAACAGTTCAAAAGACGAGTTAAAACTGAAGAAGCAATGTTTTCTTCCGTGTAACATCTCTTATAGCAATCTTGTATTCCTCTATCCATTAATTTGTTTCTTTTTATACAGGTATGTTAATTATTGTTTTATTCTAATTTAAACCGCTATTTTGTATCTGTTTCTAACTGCTACGCCATTTCCTGTTAATCTAATTTTGACATAGTTAGGGCAGACTTTACAAACTACACCAGGGGTTCTCAATCTTTTTCGCTGGCGTATCACTAATTCTAATTTAACACATTAAATTTATCACTAACCAAACGCGTTCAGAGAAAACCTATCTATGTTAATATTAACTTTCGATTTTCTTACTTAAAAAGTGGTTCAAGAATCTAAACTGTTTGGCGTGGACGAGACATCTATCGGCAGCGATGGTAGACAGTTATTCTGTACGTCGTATATCTGTCGGTAATTCAGGCGCACAGAGATTGCTTCGTGCGCACAAATTTGGGTCCCGTCAAAGGACCAACATTGCACGGTATACTATGTTTTAAGTTTATTGACGTCAAGGAATCTAGATTCTTGAACCAAAAATAAATAATGTAGCTCAAAATTTGTACAAATTGAAAGATTCACTCGCAGCTGCTGACCGGCTCAACGGATTTACTCCAAATTAGGACTGTCGTCTGTGACGAACAGAGGCTAGACTCCGATACCTGACAAGTGTCACTAACTAGCGACGTTTCGGAAAAGTAAGCACTGTCCGATACTATACGACCTTCCACTACATGTTAACTACTGTTAGTGAGACCTAGGAGGCTACTTTGAGTTGTCAGTATCGCTAGAATAGGAGAATCAAGGAATGCTCACGAAATTTTGGTAGGGAATATTGTAAATGTCCATTTGAAACAGTGAGAAGGAGATAGATATCAGAGAAATGGACTGTGATGATTTTAAGTGTGACTAATTTTAATGGACGAATTGATTGTCTTATATACAGTGTGTTCAATTTAAGACGCAGCCGTAACTGATCCACATTAACGCCTTCACGTACAAACCGACTGAACCAATGGCATTTTTTTTTTAATTTTTGCAGGTGGGACGGACGCAATTTCAGATGTTTTGTCGCTCAGTGGTCACTTGCGACAGCGAAACACTTCTTGTGTCCCTAAAGTTGTTACCAGTAGGTGTATTGTTGTTTTAATGACGTCCATTTCTAGAAATTATTCTCGAATAGCGGTAAACGACTCTGATGCGGAGTTATGTTTGAGAATACATGATGTTCGTATCTGTACAGCTTCGGCGCAACTTTCGTGAGCAGCGGCCTAGCAACAACGTCACGTATGAGTGGAAAAAATTGTTACACGGGGGTGGATGTATTTATGGCTTCACTTTTATACAGTTTTTTCGTCACTATTGGGTTGCGTTTAAGAGGGAACACCCTGTAGACAATCATGATCTTGTATTTCAGTTGTCATCGTCTAATTTCTTTTTATATTTACATTTATATTAAAGCAATAAAAATATTCTGTGCATTAACCTAAGTCCTGCGATAATTCTCTTATCTTCAGGAATACAATCAACAAAACATTAAAGGTTTACCCATGAAGATAGCGAAATTATCACAGAAACTTATTGTTTATTGCATACTTATTGTGGTTTTCTTCGAATATACTACATAGATAAAGAAGAGATCGTGAATGAACTCCCAAAAACATATCAAGCGACATTCCACTCAGTCTCCTGTAGTGCAGGACACCATTATATCAGGGGCAGTGTCATCGTGGTTCAACGATTAGGTGACCTGATGGCCGCCAGAGGGATACTACGTCTGTCAATGACATAGTAAACAGTGATTTGCAGAAACGAACAGACAAGTCGGGCAAACACCACAGCGCATGGGCAGAGAAATTGTTTTAAGATCTGATACCCTCTGGGACGAAAACTGTAACTTGTTAATTATGTAAAAATAAACAATCGTCTTATCACAGACTTTCCTTATATAAAAGACCCGTGACATCAGATCATGTTGCGTGAGTGACTGTTACACACTGCAGATCAGTGTTTAACGTTCCTTTTTCTTGTATTTCGTTAAACATTAGAAACACGACAAGCAAAACTTTTATTAAAATATAGTACATATTCCTTGTAAATTTCATTGACATCTCTGTTTTGTGTCTTATATGATGAAGTGATTTTGAGAATCTATATGCAGGGTGTCCCACGAATCTTTTGCCAAACTTCGGTTGGATTATTTTTAGAGAAATGTTTTATGGGTCAGCCACTGCGTAATTATGTTGGATGGAAAGTAGGATAAAACGCGGAGATTACATGAACTTATTTCAAGTGATAAAAAAACCAGCTACGTAGGAATTATATTTTACGTATATTTAACGTTCATTGTGGTGTAATGTACGTAGCAGGGCGGCGTTGGCTATGCTGATCGACGTGACCGATGGGGGCCGAGTTTCTTAAGCTTCTGCGCAACTAGTCACGTGCCCTCGTCAGCCAATCGGCTTCATTCACTTCTGTACGTTCAGTACAGTGACTAGCTACGGGCTGGACGACTGAGGTTCGATCTCCGACGCGGGCAGAGGATTTTTCCTCTAGCATCTGGGTCCAGACCGGCTCTGGAGCCCGCACAGCCTCCTATCCAATAGGAGAAGTGGCTTATCCGTCAGAAACGGACTAACGTACGTTAGTAACAGGCAAATTCACGAGGATTTGGGGGTCCCGCTCATTTCCGACCACATCAGAGCACTGACTGAGAGCTTCGACTCGAAGTTAGCTGGTGTGGTGTGCCGGTCCGGCAACTCGGGAGGCACTCGTGCCGAACGAGGGCTGTCAGAGGTCACCCAAGGGCAACCGAGGGCGACTGATGTGCAGCAGGCCAGCCGAGGTTGTCCGTGCTTTTCCTCGGTTGTAAGGCAAATTCCACGGTATAATTCAGGAGGGGCACGGCCCGCAAACCCCGAATCACGGAAGCTACAGCTGAAGTAATCTCCCACAAGTCGCAGAGGCCTTCACTCCCTTCTGGGTTCAAACCCCAGAGAACCAACAAACCAAAATTTCTTCGGACAAGTTGCCTGACGGGATAACCTCCCGTGAACAGCAACACGGCGGTGAGTCTGAAGATTGCTGTCTTCTGGGTTGTTGAGCCATGTCGTCTTGTAGATGATCAGGGCGATGATGGAGGCAGCAAGGACCTCTCAAACGTCGCCAAAGTGCAAGAGTGATGTAAGCATTGGGAATTCTGAATGCATTTGTGAGATGATAATTATTTTGAACGGTTTCAGTGGTAGTGGCCAAAATTGACGAGCAAAGTTTAATTTCGATTTGTATTGGTCCGATACGGTGAAATGAAGGGGAATCATTTCATAGTGAGTGCTCAGAATATCCAGAGATTATCAAAGTTCGACGGATATCGTCCAAACTATCGTCACTTAATACCAAAGGTCAACCGAAACGACTTCCTGTCCTACAAACTTTCTGTGTCACAGAAACAGTTTACCAGGCGAGACTCTGTCAATTTGTTAGTCGCAGGAGAATCGCGGAAATTTGTCCCTAAACTCATTCTCGCTGCCGCGCGGTCACTGGGACCGTGGGTTCGAATCCCACTCAAGCCAAGGATGTTTTTCTGTGTTGTGCTGTCCTGTGTACAGGTAGAGGCCTTGCGACAGGCCGATCCCTCGTCTAAGGAGTCCTACCAAAATACCTATAGATCGAGCAAACGAAAAGTTGGGACCCGCAGATTCTCAAGGCACTGAAGAACGGATCGTATAAGTATCTAAGTAAGTATCTGATAAACATCTGACTAAAAGTTGCATTTAAGAAATTATATTTAAGTTTATATAATTTTATACACCTGAAGATAGTTCTTTTAGAACTGAAACATGTCGTGTAAAAAGTGATGTTCTAATGTAAATCGAACATTTAGATAGAGAACATCATTTTAAATATTTAAATGTTAATTTTAGTAATATTTTAATATTTAATAGGAATTTTATTGTGATTTGACTGACAAGATTTAAACAAATATATATTTATCACAATATGACGCAACTTTATCATCTCATAATTAAGTACCTAATTCTCGCAAGTTAAATAAAAACGAGATCTGCGTGGACCCTTGTATAGCCACAGCCAATCGAATTGTACTGAATTACAATAATCAACAAATATTTTAATATGGGTTACGTGACTTTTCGATCGTCTTGAAAAAAAAAACCTGTGTTAAATAATTAAGAAATCAGACTTTATGAAGCACTTATGTAATTCTCTCTCAGTCTACGTGATGAATAAATAATTTGCTTTTAATATTTAACGTAATTTTGAGAGAATATATAATAAGAAGTCCTTGACAGGTGTCGGTGGAGGGCTTTGGTTAATTCGGTTTATTTTATTATTATTTATTATTGACTGCAAATGGGTTTATACCCGGTGGCAGTGTCCTACAATAACATACAAAACAATGAGACAGAACAGCACAATGAGATACATCAACACAATGAGACAGAACAAAACAATAAACAAAAGGACACAACAAAAACAATAAGACACAATAAACAATGAGATACATCAACACAGAGACAGAACAAAACAATAAACAAAAGGACACAACAAGGTTACGTAAGCCATCTAGTTAGTTAGTTAGTTAGTTAGTTAGTTAGATAATAAAAATGACAGACCAACAAATTTGTTTAACAAATTATCTTCTAACATGTGAATGTGTTTTCCTAGAACTTTTGATAAGTTGTCATGAAATATTAACAAATTGTCCACGACACTCCATGAGTCGATAAGATAAAGCGTGAGGCCCTTGGTCTTGAGACTTTAAATATCCCTATCATAATAGAGAGAGCGAAGTTTAGATTGTTGTTAAAATATATAATGCATATTTAAAGAACTGTTGACTTTGTGTTTCAAGGTAAATTATAATCGCTGACACACGAAAGGGAAAGTCCGTAGAAAACCTCCTCGTTCTATTTTATTACACATTACGTCGATAAAGAAATTTACGTCATAAATGGAGCTGGCAGTGGTAAAGTTTTTAAATATCCTGATAGAAACTTTAAAACGTATGGCTACTTAACTACTTACTTGAAGCATGAACAGAACAGAACTTTCAAAGCGAGGAACAAATATACGAGGCGCGTCCACAAAGTAAGTTTCCCACTCGTCCCACAGCTAGCAAACCTTATATGGCGCGAAGCGACTGTGCGTACGTGATAGAGTAATGACGTAGCATGGCGCATGCACTAAGGGCACTTCCCGCGTTCTCACAGTAGCATCGTTGCAGCTGTTGAAGATGGAGGTTCTTATTCCAGCTCCCGCCGACTGTGAAGTGCGGTCAGTGATAACGCTAGGCCGCACACGGCTCGACGGACAGCAAGTCTCCTGCAGGAGTTCAGCTGGGAGGTGTTTAATCATTCACCCTACAGCCCGGACCTCGCTCCCAGTGATTTCCATCTTTTCCTACACCTCAAGAAATTCCTGTCCGGTCAGCGTCAGCGTTTTGAGAATGACAGAGAGGCGGAGATGGTTGTCACACAGTGGTTCCAATCCCAGGCGGCAGACTTCTACGACACAGGTATTCAAAAGTTGGTCCCACGGTATGACAAATGTCTCAATTCCGGTGGCGAATATGTCGAAAAATAGCTGGACACTTGCTGTATCTGTTGCAATAAATATTTCCATGAAATTGTGTTTTGTTTCTGTAAACGGCCCCAGGGAAACTTACTTTGTGGACGAGCCTCGTATAAGAACTCAGTGGAATTTTATAGACAAAATAATTTTGTTTTCAACTTTTTACTTTTTCTGACAATAGGACGTCAGCTTTCGAATGGACGATGATGAATCCCCTTAAGAGATTTTCAACGCTCACAGTTTTTATTATCTTACAGAATGCTATAAATTTCATACATCAATACATATACACATCAAAGAGTTCATTGGGTGTGTTCATAAACACGCGAGACGCACTCTAATAAAATCTTAGTCCCAGATTGAATTTTCACGTCATAATTATGATTCAGTGAGTGACTTTGCAGAATCTTTTGGTAGCAAACGATGCTATGCCCTACCACGTGTTTAAGAGATACAGCGTTAGACTGCGGGATTTATCAGATCTTCCAATGTATCAAAGTCTACAGCATTCTAGTCCAATGCTATTTATGTACACATTGCTCCTGAAAGAAAGTCACACAGAAAACTAAAGGAAAATTAGTTATTTAAATCTAGGCCTACCGGATGTTCTATCTGAGTTACATTCTTATGAACCATACCTTCAAATGAACACCATTCACTAGACGCCGGAATGCTAACAAAACTTCTCCGATATTCGCGCCATTTTTATTGTCTTTGTTCCATTGTATTCGTAACTAACCTAAGCTTTACCTTTGCACACAAACCTACTATAATCTCACAGAATAATTGCTATCTTATTATATTCCTCTCAGAGTCACCTATCGAGAAAATTAAGTACTACGACTGTTATTACCAGAGCCACCTATCGACGGCCGCTATGTATTACCACAGTCTCGCATAGCGTGATGACGTAAGAGTTGTTTCGAGAGATCTATTAATATATGAAACGGTAGTTAATTCTTCTAACTTATTATACATAATATCTGGCTTAAATTTAACTGTAATCCGTCTAGTTGTTTTTAATATGATATGTGGGGACTGACGGACATTGCAATTAATTTATGAATTTTGTGTCAATAATTCGTAAAGGTATTTAGATAATAATAAAGCTATTTTTATTATGTTGTTGTTGTGTTGCACAGAAAAATGTTTTACATTCTTGGAATGTTAGTGAACTGCTAGCCAGACCAGGGCATTCGCCACTATTTTGTATCTTACTCCAAAATCAGTTATAAGTTGCTTTCAATTAAAATGAAATAAAAATTTTATGAATTTAACATATTTTGGTTGTGTGAACGAGTTTGTGAAACATCCTGTAGTTCAGGACCGCAATATAAGGCCAAC